GTTTTTTCACTCTTATTTTCTGGAGTTTGAAACATTTCAGGCACTCCTAGAAATTGTATTTGGAGAAGTAAGCACATGTTTTGACACAAGAACTACAGAGGTGGCACAGTGAGCAACAGACTAAAACCTCACCTGTGAAGCTTTCATCCATATTCACGTTGAGCTTCAGGATGAGATTTTTTAACACTTTAGGGACGTGTCCAGCTGATCTCAGTGTGGTGGAGTAAGCTCTACCCACAACTATTGTAGCAGGTGACTCAGCATGACCTGTGCTGAAGTGACCCTTTATTTTCCTCTCTGGAGTCTGCAGAGGCAAGAGGAAACAGAAAAATAAGAGTTATTAAATAAAGATTCTTCTTGGCAGAAGAGGTGGCCAAGCCACTCTCCATCATTTGTCATCAGTCCTGGTTATCCAGGGAAATCCCACATTACTGGAGGTTGTCCAGTGACAGCAACAAGGGTTGGAAGGAGGACATAGGGAACTACAGGCTTGTCAGCCTGATCCGGGTGCTCAGGACGGTTCTGGAACAGCTCAACTTCAGCGTGACCACATGGCACGTACTGGACTACCAAGGAGCAGGCTCAGCCAGCTGGGGCTTAGAAAAAGAAGGTCCTGCCTGACCAACCTGACCTTTTATGACCAGGTGACCTGCCCAGTGGATGAAGGAAAGGCTGTGGATTTATCCACCTGGATCTCAGTGAAGTCTTTGACACCATCTCCCATAGCATTCCCCTGGAAAAGCTGAATCCCATGGCTTGGACAGGTGTGCTCCTCATTGGGTTAAGAACTGGTGGAACAGCTGGGCCCAGAGTGGGGAATGGTGTCATCTCCAGTTAGTGGCTGGTCACTAATGGGGTTCCCCAAGGGTCAGTTTTGGGCACAATCCTGTTCAAGGTCTTTACTGAAGGTCGAGGGCACCCTCAATCCACCCATGGGTGACACTGAGTTGGGCAGGAGGGTTGATCTGCAGACAGATCTGGAAAGGCTGGATCCATGGGCTGAGGGAACTGCAGGAAGTTCTCAATAAGACCAAGTGCCAGATCCTGCCCTGAGTTGCAACAGCACCATGTTGTACTCCAGGCTAAAGGGAAGAGTGATTGGAAAGCTGCCCGGTGGCAAAGGGTGCTGGTGACCATGGCTGACCATAAGCCCAGGTGTGCCCAGGTGGACAATGGCATCTGGGCTGGATCACAAGTGGTGTGGCAGGAGGAGCAGGGCAGTGACTGCTCCTGTGCTGGCACTGCTGAGGTCCCTCGAGTGCCGTGTCCAGTTCTGGGCCCCTCAGTTCAGGAAGGACACTGAGGGGGTTGGAGGGTGTCCAGGGAAGGGAATAAAACTGGGAAAGGGTCTGGAGCACCAGGACCAGCTGAGGCAGCTGGGGGGGTTCAACCCGCAGAAAAGGAGGCTCAGGGAGGACCTTACTGCTCAAATATTTGACTCAGTGATCCTGGAGGTCTTTTCCAACCTTAATGATTCTATGATTCCTTTTAAACAAAACCTACAATCCTTACATGCCATGACAAAGGCATCAACACCCATTTTACATCCCAGTGAGAGCTCAGAAGCCTCCAGCTTCTGTAGCAAAATATATCCAAGCTGTTTGGTGGCTACACAAGAAAACAAAGCGAGCATGAAAAAGGAAAAGAATACCTTTGGTGGTTGGTTTACCCTCTTTAGGGGTCTTCCTCTTCGGACACTTTTCTTAGAAGTCTTTGACTGTGGTCTTGCAACACCCGATTTTACCACTTCTGCCCAAGATTTTGTAACTAGAAAGCAAGTGAGAAATAACCACTTCAACTCTCAGCTGTTTAAATGGAAGTTCACATTTATTTCTTTATGATTCCAGTTGATTTTCTTTATGATTTTCCAATGCAGTCAGGCATTGGACTGCAGGTTGTTGTATCAACAACAGGTTGTTGTATAATCTGACAACACCAAAAGTGCTCTCTGAAACACTTCCAGTAGGAAAACCCCAATTTAACAAGTGGCCAAGCTTCCCCAGGATGACTTTCCACAACAAAACAATGAGCTCCACACAGTGTCAAAGAGATGTAAGATCCTGGAACCGAACACGGACCCAATTCCATTCTCACTCTTTTTGCAAGGAGAGAATTTTTCCCAAAAAAACTTTTCATGAGCCTTTCAGATTCGTTCATTATCCATGAGCTTTCCTCTGGTGAGACTTAACATCAGAGAAATGGTTTAGAAGTAGAGCATATCCAGCTTTTCTTTCACCACCTGCCTGAGGAATTTCATAGGCAGGAAACTCTACTTACACTGCTTAAAGCATTTAGATCTACATAGTTTTCATAATTTTTCTTGTATCACCTTCTCCTCATGACATGTTTCACAAATTCCCAGAGCGAGGTTACCTTTATCCCAGCACAATTCTGTACACAACAGAGGGATCAGGGAATTAGTTATAGCTGTGTAATAAATGAAGCTGGAAGTTTGTAGGATATCTGCCTCTTTTAATTTGGAAAAAAAAAAAAGCTGGGAGAAGACAGGGATCATACAAAAGAAATCAGTTTTTTAAGTGGAAATAAAATGGGAATGCTGTTCCTAAAGAAAAGGATATTACTATTGTCCTGTCAGAATGGCTGTGTAAGTCTGTAAATGAAAAGAACTTTGAAAACCTGTCATTGCAAAGGTGTTCTGGATGCAGAGAAAAATACCAAGCATCCAGAAAATTATCTGAAAAAGCACTGGAAACTAACCTTGCAAAAAGGATGCTAATTTTACCATTTTTCAACTTCTGAACGTTAAGTTTTGTGTTCTAAACATGGGTTAATAGATGTTTTAGTAAGTTTGCTTTATGAATATGAGGAAATGCAACATTTTGCACTTCCCAGTTGCTTCCAACAAGCCCAATAGTTGTCAGAAGAAACATCAATCTCTTGGTGGCCTCTGCATAACAAAACAAGTCTACTTCAGTTTTGTTTCTGTATTTTAAAGCATTAAAATAGATATTTCAAAGCAGCTGCTGAAACAAACCTAATAAATTAGCACTGGAGGCACCACTTCTTCTCTTTGCATGGAGAACTCCCACAGCCCCGCTCCTTCTCTTCGTGGAAGTGCCCTTCAAACCCACTTGGGCACTTCTGGTTAGTTTGGCAGGTGTAGCTGAAGCAAAGGTTTTGTCATCTTGGTTAATGGGAGAAGACTGAGGTGTTTTCACTCTCACACCGCTTTTTTCCTTTGCATTCAGGTCCTGTGCACCAGAATCCTTCTCCTCTGGGATTGGGAGTTGCGCTGGGAGCTGGGAAATGGAGAAACGTCCTTTCCTGTAAGGGGCTGGAGAGCCTGAAGGAACTTGAGGTGCTGCCTTCCCTGAGGAAGGGGAGGAGGTAGCTGGGGACTTCTGGGCTGGCAAACTTCTTTGTGACATTTGTTCTTCCTGGTAAAAAAAAACCAAACAAAAACCAAAACCAACAACAAAGAATTAGCACAGGTGGATTTTTGGATTTTTTCTTCTTTTTAATGGAGCAGTTTTTCAGCACATCTCCACTGAAGATCAAGTTGTCCACTGAAGGACTGCTTACCCTTCTCATAGAAGCAACCAGGGCCAGAACGAACCAAACTGGGCACAGATATCAACAAGCTCAACCCACTGAGGGTTGAAACCCTCACTTCTTTCATCTGTAACAATCTCTGTAGTAACTCATAACTGCCCTTAAACCCAAATACCCATCACACTGAAACCAAGTATGGAAAGGGAAGGAGTGTAAGGTACCCACAAGTGTAACAATGTATACTGGCACAACAAAAACTAACTTAACTCTCACAATACATCCCTCTACCTCCCAGGCTCCTGATAGGACTGGTGAAAGCTCCTCTCCACAGATTTCTAAGACTGGATCCTATGCCATCAAATCCACAGAAACAAGTGCTGTTTAATCTTTCGTGGTCCCTCAAACCACTGGAATTATCAATGCAGAATAATAATTGAACCTGCCTGGTCAGCATTCCTGTCTCCATCCTCTGACGAGTCCTGTGGAGGGACCCTCAGCTCTCCAAAAGGTTCAGGGAGAGATGGGACTGGTATCCTGGGCACTGGATCAGGAGGATTAACTAGCATGGATATCCCATTAGTTAGTCCTTTTTATTCTTACCCTTTCCCATCCTTACCCTTTTTCCATGCCCAGCCTCCACTTGGATTGTTTTACATAGATTTCAGTTCCAGATTGATTGATTTTAACCTGATTTTTCTCTGTGTGCTATAACCATCCAGTATAAATTGCAAAGTGACCTTGCCCCTGCTTTTGCCAATGCCTTTGCTGGTGATTCTTTGAGTGTCCTAAAACACTCACTTGTGACACCAAACTCCATCAAACAAGGTTTGCTACTAATTTTGAAATAATTATAATAAATAATAGAATAAAAAAAAATAGAATTTATAAATTCTGTTCACAGTAATGGTCTTAGCAACTT